TTCTAGGGGTGGAAGCTCTCCTGCAGCCCCCCAATTGCCCCCTCTCCCCAGATGGCAGCCTGCGGCAAGTGCAGCCCGTCTGATGGCCGAGTGTTGTGATGTGCCCAGTGTGGGTACTTTGGGCAATCCAAGCCACGACTGCTTTGCAAGCGGGGCACCCCTGAGAACTGTCTGTCCGGGGTGGGATTCAGGACACTTTAAACACAGCCCTCGGCTAGCCTGAGACAGCATCTCCATGCTCTAAGTCCTCCTCTGATGCCCTGCCGGCACTGCTTCCGGCCATCCTTAAGCCTGGTTCAGGGTCCACTTAATGTGGACATGATAGTTCGAATTACCAAAACGCTAATTCGAACTAGTTTTTTAGTCTGGAGCCGTTAGTTCGAATTAGCTTAGTTCGAATTAACTAATTCGAACTAAGTTAGTTCGAATTAACGTTGTAGTGTAGACGTACCCTGAAGGAGCCATTGGCCCTATGAAACTGCAAGCAGCTTTGTGAGATGTATGCACCTTAAAAATTGTGCCCAGGTCAGTTTTACAGTGGTGATTCCTGTTTGTTTCCTCCAGAGAGCCGCTCAGAGAACTTCCCTCATGTCATTTGGACTTGAAATTCTGGTCATTGCTGCAAGCAGTGAGTTCCTTTGTTAGTTCCCACACTTCTAAGTCAGACTGGCTATTGGTTTTGTTAAGTTAGTATTTCTTTTAGGGCTCCAGAGAAAAGCCAGCCTGAGTATTGTATACTGAGCTGGCATGCAGTAGATAAATGAGTAAATAAAAAATGTCACAAATGTACTAGGATCTCATCACTGCACACAAGGTTTTGGCAGCAAGTTAGCAAGATCACTGTTTGGCCTAACCCCAAATTTAAGTGGCTTGTATTATGTGTGAGATGTGTAGGGGGGACTTTTAGGTTCTGTATCCCCTAAGGTTTGTGCAGTAAGAGAAGATTCCAGCTGATTCAGCTAAGTTCTGTGTATATGTACCAAAATTAAAAAAAATGTTTTGAGGGAAAATTATCCTAATAAGTTGAGGTTCATGTGTGTCCCTGTTTCAGCTACTAAGAATATTTATTTTTGTATTTTTCACGATGATGTATTCTGTGTAGGAATATATACATTAAATCAGTCTTGAAAGGATTATAATATTAGATAGTTATTGATATTAGGCCACAAAAGACTAAATAATTGAAGAAAAAAACCCATTGACTTAACTAATCAGCATTGCTTTGTTTTCATGCAGGATGAGATCAACTTTGAATATATAAAAAAAGAGAAACAAAAAGAATGGCAGTGTGTCAAGGTAATACAATATATAAAATATAACATTGGCTAGGTCATAGTATCTTGTCATGCATGTGAAATGGCTCATTTAATGAGCATTTTCATGAAGCTTCAGAAAAAAAATTCATTTTAATATAATTAAAATATTAATTGAAATTGTCCACTGCTATGCAGATTTAGTTTAGGTATCTATGAAAATAAGATATAAAATTTCCAGTTTTATTTATGCCGCAATGAGCTGTTTAATTATAGAAAATTACACCAATCCTCCTTGTACTGTAAGTTGTGGTTGCTAAAATCCAGTCACCCCAGCCCTTTCTAACTTGAGGATGAATTTCAGATCTCATTACTGTTCATATCTTTTGGATGCTTTTGCTTTCCTCCAGTCTGTCCCTAAACTGTTTGTTGTTTGATAAAAGCTACAACTAAATGAGAGAAGATACATTTCAGTAGAATACAACATATTATTGGGAAAAAGCTGCCACACAATTTTTGTAATTTGTTAATGTGTGCTATCACTGCTTAAGTTAAAGTGTTCAAATGTCCCTGTGTGATCAAGGCATTGTGAGATTTTAATAGATGTCCTGCTGGAGGTTGTAAGCAGTATTTGATATACTGAAAATGCTTTATTTTGTTTCATTTTTTTCAACTCTGCTGTCCCTTACCTTCCTGTTAGCAATCAATCTATCTTGTTACAAAGTTCTCCCTGCATGTCATGTGAAGATCAAAAGCAGCCATGTTTAAAAAAAATAGTTAACAATAAAAAAGTGGAAAAAGTTAGATAGCCTACTGTTTAGGTAGTATAGCAATAGGTGCTGTAGAAATAAATTGACTGAATGATTAAACTGGGAGAAAAATGGCAATCACATTGTTGACGATAGTCTATGATTTTGTAGCCTGCCACAAGACTCAGAAAGGACAAAACTATCTGGGGTTCATTATTCTTCGAGTTTCCCTTCAGAGTTTACTGTACATACCATATAAGTCAGTGAGGGGCAATGTAGGCTCGTGAGTGGGCTGCATAGGTGGCCCTCCGTCTCAATTGGTTGCAAGATTGTCATAACTAAGGATATGTCTACACTACAGCGCTAATTCGAACTAGTGGGTTAGCCTCCCACTAGTTCGAATTAAGTGGCTACACAGCCCTTAATTCGAACTAGCTAATTCGAACTAGGCATTAGTCTTCGTAGAATGAGGTTTACCTAGTCCGAATTAAGCGCTCCGCTAGTTCGAATTAAGTTCGAACTAACGGAGCGCTAGTGTAGCGCCTATCAAAGTTAATTCGAACTAACGTCTGTTAGTTAGAATTAACTTTGTAGTGTAGACATACCCTAAGTAAGTCTTCCGGGACAGGGTAGTTCTCCTAACTGTGCTTGTATATCTAGAATTTGCAGGAGGTGCTGATCAAACTGTAGCAGCACTTTGATTGGATGCAGAGGGAGTGCACTGCTCGCATAAAATTGTGTGCAATCAGCACACACTTCACATGCCTTTGCTTGGCCTTCAACCTGAGCCCAAATGTCTACACAGCAGTTTTACACCTCTGAAGCTCAAGCCCCGGTGCTTCATTGCTGTATAGAGGCAATCTGTGAGCACTAATATAGACCCATAGATTCTGGACCATATTCCGCACACAGTTACATCTATACAGCCTCAGTGAAATCATATAAAAGTCCCTGGTGTTGCACTCACTTTCATTGACTTTATACCTGTATATCTCCATCCATTTCAATAGGATTACTGCCAATTTACACAAGACTAAGTGAAAGGAGTATCAGACCACCAGGCACCACATACATTGAAGTTAATGGGGTTAATTGGCTTTACTGTAGATGAGAGTTTGCTCTGTGTTGAGAATACATATTAAATGGTATCCCCTCTTTTAATATTGTGTATACTTATATCTTTAACACATTATTTTTCTCTTGTCAGAACAAGATGGTGAAGGAAATATTATTTCAAAATGGAATAATCCCTGGTTTTGGGAAATGGACACATGAGTGGAGGCATCTGGTGAAGGGAGGGGGGGAGAAATTGACAGAACAAACATCATTGACTTGCTCTGAAAGTGACAGCAGTGTATGAGAGACTGGGGACTTCAGTGAAAGCCAACACTGATTCTGTCTCTGTGAGCTCTTCCAGTGGCCTTCCTAGATTAAATCCTTTGCCCACCCAGTTTGTTTCTGTAGACCAGCATGCAGCTGTTAATTACTTTGTCTTGGCAAGCTTTCCTTCTCCTTTCCCTCCTGTTTCCTGCACTATGACCCATTTAATCTTTTTGTGATGGAAGAAATAAAAACAAGCAAGCATTTATTTTTTCTTAACATTGAGTTACCATCCTCAGGACAGTTTTAACACATTATTAAAAACTCCAGGAATAAGAGGATTCTGGCTTCCTAACAAAGCACATTTCATTAGTTTGGCTTTTCCTTATAGAAAACAGTAGTAAAGAAAAAATGGTATGGTTCCCTGTAAAACTTATTTGTGCACAGTTATACAGACACCAAGTTATTCTGTTTTGCAGCTCTCATTTGGAGCCTGAGTGTCAGTGACATTTTGCCCATGAGCAGCAGTGAAATTAAATTCAAATTTCTCACAGATACTATCCTATTGCAACCAGGGTTCCTGCCAGCTCTATAAATAGCTCCCTGCTGGCTTTTGCCACAGCTCGGCCAGCTCTAGCTAGAGCAGTGCACCAGGGCGCACACCCACTTTCACCTCTGCTCATGAAAGCTCATGATATATTTGTTAGTCTCTAAGGCTATGTCTAGACTACGGAATTCTTCTGGAACACATCCAGGGAACGCTTCTGCTCTTCCAACATTTTTTGCGGAAGAGCAGACGCGTTCTTTAGGAAGCCCTGTCTTCATAAATAAGGGCTCTTCATAAAGAGGAAGTTTTCCCAAAATTTGGCCCAGTGTAGATGGGCCAAATTTCTGAAAAGCGTCTTCCGAAAAAAGAAAAAAAAAACAGAAGAAGGTACGCAAATTATGGAGTGCAGTTTGCCTACCTTTTTCCAACAAAAAGCAGCAGTCTAGATGTAGCCTAAGGTGCAACAAGACTACTTGTTTTTAAAGTTACAGACTAACATGTACACCCCTGCAGTCTTACCTCACTTCTTCCATCTGCCTCTTATGCCTCTATCCTCCTGAGATTTCCATGTCCCTCCCTTTCTCCCTTCAACCCTAGTAAAGCACTCAGTTTTGTTCTGTAAAACACTAGTACATCCTATGAGGAGCAACTAGGTGTAGTGTGTATACAACATTTGAAAAGACTTGTGCCAGCAAAGAGGTAGAAAGGTTCCCAGGAAGATGCAATTCAGCCCACCAGGGGATCCCCTGAGACAGAATGAATTCATCAGAAAGCACACAGGATAAGGAAAAGAGCCATTAACCTCAATAAAGGTGATGAAAGGGATGGGGGAATTGTCCAGCCTTGCAACACAAACATAAAACCCTACTCTTGAAGTGACCCAAAATCAAGGCAAGGTGGGACCATATAAGCAAAACTGAAATGCAGAATAACACAAATCACTTCCTGGAGTTTGAGGAAGCACCACCGGGACCAAGACATGCAAGCAGAGACCCAGGAAACTATAGACAGTTCCTAGTGGGTTGGAGGGATCTGAACACTGGGGCCTTCAAGCAAGGGCAAAGAGGGTGCTGGCAATCTGGGGAAGTGTCCCAGAGAGATCTACAGAGGAGTCAGAGGGGATGCATAAAATGGTGGCCATTTGCAGGGTACTGGGCCAGAAGCCAAAGTAGTGTGTGGACCCAAATTCTCCCACCCCCATTCATCACTGAAGAAGTGGTTGGACTGAGAGACTGTGATACTGCCCTGATGAAGGAAGTATAGGAAGGAACATGGAAAATGGCACATCTGGAGGGCTATGTTACAAAGAGGATGCTGTCGTCATGGGAATGATGTGGTTCCCTAACTAGAAGTAGTTTGGTGAGACGCCAACAGAAGAGGGTGCTCCGAGTAGCAGAGCTGATCCCTAGGACACACAACATGGGGCACCACAGTGATGACTCATGCCCCATCACAGAGTTATAGTAATCAAAGTCTCAACCCTTTAAAATTAGCTTTCTGAAAAAAATAATCTGAGAAATGGGTTTCCCCTGCCTATAGTTTGCATGACATTTTACCTGATTCAATTTCTATTTGGAAAAATATTTGGTGCGCTTAGGTCCTTCACTTTATGAAATTTCTCCAAAACTGAAAGTCTATTATTATGTTACTTGAAAGAAGTTTTGCTTGAGGAAGAAATGTGTTAGGTCTCACATTGTCTTAGTGGCCCCATTTTTAAAAGGGTATCCAAACCCATCCTCTGAAAGTATGTATTATTCCTTGCTGCATTAAATGCCTGCAAATTTGCACTTGTATTTGATTGAAAATGCAGTTCATACTGCTTAGATGTTTTTTGGATTTCTCCTCAAAATCAGGTGACTAGACTTCCAAATTCTGTTAATTAAGTCCATAATTAAATGAAACTGCATAATTGTAGACACATGTGGCAGCAGCCTCTCAAACCCAGGCCCTATATACAATTTTATTTCACTATATGTAACGGGAATTGTGCCTGAATAACAGATTTCAGACTGGTATTATTATTATAAATTATTCATACTTGGCTTATAAATGAAGGTTTTGTGCACAATATCACCTGTGCACAATCATAAAAGCCTATTTTAAGAGTACAGTTTAGATGTAAAAGTGAAAATGTGACTTTTACAGTAATGCCACCATTTTTGGAATAGCCACACAGGTTTCATCCTTTTGTCCACCTGAAATGACAGAACAGATAGCAAACTTGCTATCATTTCAAGAAAGATGTGGAGAAATTGCAGAAGGTCCAGAGAAGAGCAACAAAAATGATTAACAGTCTAGAAAACATGATCTATGATGGAAGACTGAAAGAAATGGGCTTGTTTAGTTTGGAAAAGAGAAGACTAAGAGGGGACATGATAGCAGTTTTTCAAGTATCTAACAGGGTGCTACAAGAAGGGAGAAAAATTGTTCTCCTTGACCTTTCATGATAGGACAAGAAGCAATGAGCTTAATTGCAGCAAGGGAGGTTTAGGTTGGACATTAGGAAAAACTTCCTGCCTGTCAGGGTGGTTAAACACTGGAATAAATTGCTTAGGCAGGTTGTGGAATCTCCACCATTGGAGATATTTAAGGGCAGGTTGGATATACATCTATCAGGGATTATATAGACAATGCTTGGTCCTGCCGGGTGGGCAGGAACTGGACTTGATGATCTTTCAAGGTCCCTTCCAGTCTGAGTATTCTATGATCCTATTCTAGGATTCTCTGATTTGGAGTCTTTTGAAATACTAACATCATAATTCCTGGTTGGATAGAACAGCTTCTTTTGAAGCCTGTGCTGCCTTCTTCACAATAAAGACTTTTTTTTTAAAAGTATCGAGATGCCTAATGTAAATACATTTTCATTGAATATATTATCAAAACCTTTTATCTCTTTTACTTGTTGCACAATGTAACAGAATATAACACAAACTGATGTTTCTAGACAGACAGTGCAGCTTAAAATTGCATCAGATATAAGACTGGATCAATGTTACATAACAGGCAGTGACATGAATGTAAATAACATGCTTTCAATCTATGCGTGATACAAATCTCATTCATTTCCCGCTATGAAGTAAAGGAACACAGAATGTAGAGAAGGTATTTGGTAGTCTTGTGAAGTATATCATACAGTTAGATTTGCAATAGAATAATACAATTCACATGTTACCATACCTATTACTTGTCCCTAAATGTGAGTTATATCATTTA